TGCAATATTTGATATCTCAAAAACCTGACGTGATAGACAAAAACTGATGCCAGGTTTGGAATCAGCACCCCAAAATTACCTTAAACCCGTTGGAATACCTTATGCCAGAAAAAGTGTGTTGACCAGTGTATTGTATCGTGATGAGGACAGTGACATGCGGGGGGGGGGGGGGGCACCTTTAATTGCCGGTATCAAATAATAATAATTGGGGTTTACCCTTTCTGGCAATAAAAAAGGAGGTGTCAAGATGTTAAAACACCAAACAGAAACCTTTTGCAAGAACCACGTCCGCATTAACCACAAAGTACAGGTAGTCCGCGACTTACGACGGAGATGCGTGACAACGACCCCATCGTAAGTCGAAAATATCGTAAGTCGAAGATGGCCTCGCCTACCCAGGAGTCTTAAAGAATGGTGATAATTTAGCAAAACAGAGCGATTTACAGTACCGGCAGCGTGCCAACGTCCAGCATCGTACCTCGTACGCTGCTGCGTTTGCCTTCCACGCGAAATGTAAAATATTTTACAATTTTGTCGTAAGATCGAAATATCGTAAGTCGGACCGCCGTAAGTCGGGGACTAGCTGTACTGGTGGTGAACATGCAAACAAACACATCCTCTGCTAATACATGGGCACTGTCTTTGAGACTGATTGGTCGACACCAGAGACGGCGGCCTTCGTTAGGGCCTAGTCTCAACCAGTGTTAGACCAGAGAACAGCGCCAAATGGCGAACAGCACAAAGACATTGAATCGGTGGGGTTGGTGGTGTTAGAGGGGGCGGGCAGAGGGCAGAGGGGGCATCGTTCCAATCGGAATATTGACAATGAGTAGTAGCTGATTCACGTCGTCACGACTGTGAAGGAGTCGTCAATAAACCATCAGCGGCCACCCATCGAGCAAAGACCGCGGTGGTCACCGCATCATCGCGCGGTGCTTTCAGACGCGCTTCTGCGGCCGTCTGGAACGCTCTCCCCTCCGATATTAGGGAGCCACTGGGAGCCATGCAACTGTTAAATCATCATCGACATTGACAAACTCATTTCTTTAGAACTGCTTTTTGTGTTTAGTTTGTGATCTTTCACCCCCGCACCCTCCCATCAACATGCGTGCGTCAATGATTGTCTAACGAGGGACCAATCCCCCTTGCCATAGAAATGTGGAATTTCCAACACAGGCTCATTGAACCATTGACGAGGACGATACAGCCGAGGGCTCGTTTGAATGTCGGGAGCGAGCGATGGGCATTTGTACAAATAAACACGACCCGTTCAGTTTTGGTGAAGTATGGCTAACACCCCCCCTCCCCAACCCGCAACGACGACTGAGTACACAATTACATCGATTATCGGCGGGGATGCGGATTATCCGACATGCTGGATCCATACATTGATGAAACGCCTTCAAGCGCTCACTGCTTTAAGAGCTGGACTTGCCGCTCCTCACTCGTCGAGGGTCGGTGGCGAGTCGGTGACACCCCCCCATGATTGACAGGACACTGGCACGGGGAGGGGGGGGGCCTTCATCCAGCAGTGGATTGACAAAGGGCCTTGGAGACAGGAATTATTCAAAACAATTATAGGTTGGGACCAATGGCATTCTGTGCATTTCCAATATCGTTGTCAATAATAGGGCCCTTCAATGGAAATAGGATAAATTTCGATTTAAAGCTTTCGTGACTGCAGGGATTCATCTTCTTGGTTCTTTCGGTAAAGTCACGTACTTCCCTTCATCATTATACAATAGACAGTAAGATGATTAAAATAACATTAAACTGAAACTTTGTATTTTTATTTTACCAGGTAAAGCCCACTGAGCTATCCATAATATAGGTTTTTTTTGGGTTAGATCACGTAAATATAAATGTGTCGTTAAACCCGCCACCACCCAAAACAGGCAATCAGTAAGGGTTGTCACGTAAACAGAACGTGCCAATTCGTCACTAGTACAGCCACACCGGTGTGTTGGAGAGCAAATCCACAACATTTACAATCTGAGTACGACGTTTCGCGAGTAATTACAACTAGATTCATCAGGCGACAGCCAGTTTTCTGGCCTTAAATAGAGGGGTAGATGTAATGATGTCACTCGTGAGCTCTTCACGTGTAAAGGGGGGTGATTACATATTCATATTTACGCGATCTAACCCAAAAACCTATATTGTGGACATTGGTCGCGAAATCCCACTGAGCTTTGTAGCTCTTTTTCAGAAACGACCTGGCTCTCATAAATGATAGCTCAACGAAGTGGCTTATCACGTGGAAATGTATTGCAGCCAAATACTCTAAACGCGTGTTGTTGATTCTAAATGTGGAGGGAAAAACCAGAGAACCCGGAGAAAAATCCACACGACCACAGGGAGAACATGCAAACTCCAAATATACAGCAGGCGTCAGGGTCGGGATCGAACCGATGACCTCCTGTATATACCAGGCGAGATAGTTAATATATCCTAGCCACCGTGGTGATGATGATAGACACGCAAACTCCAAATATACAGCAGGTGTCAGGGTCGGGATCGAACCGATGACCTCCTGTATACCAGGCGAGATAGTTAACATCTCATAGCCACCGTGGTGATGATGACAGAGAGAGACACGCAGACTCCAAATATACAGCAGGCGTCAGGGTCGGGATCGAACCGATGACCCCCTGTATACCAGGCGAGATAGTTAACATCTCATAGCCACCGTGGTGATGATGACAGAGAGAGAGAGAGACACGCAGACTCCAAATATACAGCAGGTGTCAGGGTCGGGATCGAACCGATGACCCCCTGTATACCAGGCGAGATAGTTAACATCTCATAGCCACCGTGGTGATGATGAGAGAGAGACACGCATACTCCAAATATACAGCAGGCGTCATGGTCGGGATCGAACTCACGACCTCCTGTATACCAGGCGAGGTAGTTAACATCTCATAGCCACCGTGGTACAAATGGCAGCCGAGGATTGGAACGGCTGCGAGGTCGCGTCCACATTGGAGACGAAGCGATGAAATCAACTCGTGCGAGCTCGGACGCTTCGTTACGTCGCAAGAAGGTCGACGAATGTGCCGGCTTGGCAAGGCCTTCATCCAGCAGTGGATGGACAAACGGTGCCGTGCCGGGTCACGTGGGCTTAGCTCAAGGTCAGACCTGAGTTGCGTTCAAGGACTGCAAAGATTTAAAAATCAACGCGACTGCACGGACGCATTGACGCAAGGTAAACTCACACAGCAACAACAACAACAACGACGAGTCGATTTCGGTCGATGACATTTTAAATGTCCGGTTTTTTGTTGTTCATTCCGCCTTGCAGGAAGTTAAAAACCTCGTCGGCGCGTCGTCAATGACACCGCTGTGCGCGGCAGTCCAGACGAAACAAAATGGCCCTTACTTCATGGGACACAGGGAGGCCAAGAGAGGTAAGAATGGATAATTGGACGGGAATAGGAAAATCAACACCTCGTGCATAGACGCAAAATGGACGCGTTTTTCTTTTCAAGGCCCTGTCGCATTCTTTGTCAATAAATAATGTGCAAACCCATAATTTTAACGAACGGTACAAATTCCGGACGAACCGATGCGCTCCACTCACGATAAATCGCGTGGCAAACCCTGTATTGTGACGTCACGATTCAGGGTCGCCATGCGTTTGTGACGTATAGATTCAGGGTTGCCATGCAACCGTGACGTCACGAATCAGGGTTTCCATGCGATTGTGGCATCGACTCTCATTTTTGTCGCGCGACATTGGCGTCTCAATGACATCGGGGCTCACTCGGTTTGCCGAATTATACAACGTGAGCATATTCGGTGCATACAATTTGCATACATCGCAAATGATTGATTACAGTGAACGCTTCGACACGCGTATCGCGAGAACTAACATTTAGCGATGAATCAACGCAATCGTCGGTGCCTGGTAACCACGGTGGACGGTTGAACAGGTCCGCGGATTGCTGATGAGACGTAGTGCGAGCGAAACCGATGCGGTCATTTTTTTTTAAGAAACGCTTTTAGGAAACCACTGACGATGTCCAACGGGACGAAACTGCCTTTCACTTCCACGACGCATTTTTATTTTCACCACCATTTGGCACACAACGACAAAGATCACCCGTGTAGCCTTAACAGACTGTTGGGCGCAATTGCTGTTAGCGAGCAGCACCTATGAAGGCCGGCAAGGTACACGGGGGGGGGGTGGGTGGCCAGCATCACGCCCGGCCGCCTTTGTCTCCCCCGTGCCGATGTTTACACAACGCACCAGACAGTCCTTTTAGACTGAGTCGACCTAAGGGAGGCCCAGGACAGGTTCGGATAATCGTCACCACTGTTGGCCGTGAGTGGGAATCGAACTCTGGGTGGTTGGGATAGTAGCGCGGCGCGCTGGCCGCGTGCGTGCGCGCCCAGTCGCGCTGGCGTGCGCGTGTGCTTGCGTGCGTGTGTGCTTGCGTGCGTGTGCGTGTGTGCACTGTGTGTGTGTGCGCAAGGTATCCCTGGTCGCGTGCAAACCAAGCCGAGCAAACGCGATGGAAACGCCGGGGCGACGTTTCACCGCGGAGCGAGCGACATCGACGCGCGGCGCTTCAACCTAACGCCCCGGGAAACTTGTGGGTGAGGGGGGGGGGTGGCACTTAAATGGCCCCAAGTAAAACACCGGCGTGGCCCCGCCGGTAAAACCTCCAGAGGTCCAAACGCCTGATCAAGTGGTGGAACGCTCTGCGAATCACCATCACCATCCTCATCAGCGCACGCGCGAGCGATCGCACATACACACACACACTCGCACACTTATGTGCGTGTCACAGCAGCCCTTACGCGTGTACGCCAGTCGTGAGCAGACAGAGACTCTTCATAGACAGACAGAGAGAGAGACAGACACGGCAATATCAACGTGGTGCAGCGTGGTTGGCAATGTGCCCTGGTGCAATTCTCTCTGAATGTCTCCCTTCTTGTGGAGCCTGGCGCCTGGGCCCACTCTGGCCTCTCGGCCTCCTCCGGTCCGTGGGCCTCCTCTAACCCATGGGCTCCTCCAGCCCGTGGGGCCCGGTGCAGTTGCACCATCTGCGCACACCTCGACAGCTCCGCCCGGGGGCGGAGGCCAAACCTCCTGACGCTACAAGCTGCACGGCAAAGTGTCACGTGGCCGAGAAAGAATTAATAATTTTGTTCCTAGAAGTGTGTGGGGCAGGGGGGGGGGTGAGTTTAACCCTTCCCCGTTCCGATGACGTACATTGTGTACGTCATCAAAACGAAATCGGAAAAGAAAAAGAAAAACTTAAATAAAGTAACTTTATCGGTACTGAGGCTCTCCCACAAGGCCATGTGGGAGGGCACGTGGCACAGTTTTGGCGCCGGCAATCGTAGAGCGGCGGCGGTCGTGTCGCTACGGTTTTCTGCGGTGAGTAACGTCTTCAAAAAACAACGGCGCTACTACGCCTCTCTCTGAATAAAATATCCGCCGAGGTGCGTTAATTTCTGTGGGGCGGTTCAGCGAGAATGCCCGCAGAACATCCCCCTTGCACACAAGGGGGAGACTTTGACAACGCTCAACCTTCGCAAAAGTTTGCACAAAAACTAAGAAGATGAAGAAGAACGCCGCCGGACACAGCGACGGAATTCGCCGAGTGGAGATCGCGAGCGCGCTCTGCAGCGCAAGCCGACACGATGCGTGCTCAGTGCTCCCGTAGGCCTACAGGACACACCCACCGTCACCACCACCACCACCTCGAACCTGAGCAGGAACCTCTGACGTGCACGGCCATCGGAATCCGGCACGGGTTTTTCCATTGCTGCCCGCACTGGCGGCGTGGCCCGGCGAGTCTCTCCAACGCCGTGAGTTTGTCGGCCGGGGAAAGAATGCGGCGATTGAAATAAACGACGTGCGACCGATCGGATTTTTTTTTCCCAATTATTATTTGTTTCCATCGAAGCAAGAATTTCAGCGCCGCTGCTGCTGCCGGATTGGGCCGACGTCTCAGCGGGATTGGTTTGAAATTGTCGGTTTGGCACGGGACGCTCGACCGGCAGACCCCTACACCTCCACTAACAATCGGCAAATGGACAACAGACCAGCAGACCAATCTCATAGCGGGGGGGGGGGGCGCCTTCTAGACCACAGACCGACGGGAGCGGACGACCTTTTTAAAACGCGAGCACCTGCGATATCCGCCGCTTGGCTAGGCTAGATAAGGACGCGTGCACACACACGCGGTGCACACACACGCGTGCATACACACACACACTGTGCGTGCTGCACGCTCGGTCTACTCGGCCCGGCAGTGGTCTGTGAGCGGCGCTGCGACCCCGGCGGTGTCAGTGCTGCGTGCGGTCCTCCGCCGTTTTGGCTTGTTTATTTTTAAGCGCTCGCCGACGGCCGGGGGAGAAAAACGATTGTCAAGCGCCCCAGCAGCTCCATGCTCTGGCTCTGGGTTTGTGCGACCCGGGCCCCCCCACCCCCCACGGACCCCCCCCCCAGGGTTTGTGCACCAGGGATTACCGCCTACATATCGGAGGCCTCGGGGGTGGGGGGTCGAGGGGAGGGGGAAAAACGCCGCCCAGGTGAGGGCCCCCCTCCCTCTCTGAAGCCTACCCCCCCCGCCCACAGGTCCATTTCCTGAAGCCCACCCACACGCGGCTAATATCCAGGGGGGCGGGGGTGGGGGGCGGGGGGGGGCACCAATACCCCGAGCGACGGGCCACGAAAGCAAAAATCGCTCCTCAAATCTCGAAATCATCATCATCATCGCGCTCGCACGTGACCGTAGCTCGCACGTGACCGTCGCCCGCGAGTAGCCGTCGCCCATCTTCTGTCCTCGCCCGAGGCGAGCGGCCGTGCGACACGGGGGAGCGTCTAAGCGCACGGGGGAACGGTCCGGGGATCGCAACGAAGCGGCGCGCGGTTCTGGCGGACTTCGCCGCATGCCTCTCCGGGCAGGTCGCCTGCTCGACAAGCCGGGCGGCGTCTCTCCACCGCGGGGGCGACCGGCCACGGCGACGGCTCGCAACCGGTTGCAGAGACGTCCACGCGCGATCGACTCGGTTGCGCGCAACAAATTACTCAAGAGTGGATCCACCCACCGTCCCGCTCTCCGCCCGCCAGCCCCCCGTGTGCGTGAACCCTGCCAGGACGCTGGCGAGACGAGCGGCTCCCGTCCACGCGAGTTTGTTGACGGCGTACAAATTCACAACGATAACACCAACAACAATAATAATGATATCAATAATCACGTGGAACAACGAACTCCGACTGGATTTGACCTGGCAGCCACTAGACCAGGGGCTCGGCAAAACAAAACAACAAGGAGGGCCGTTTTTGTTACTTGTGTAATAAATAAAACAATGCACTGCGGGTGAATACGACACGGCGGTCCTTCATCAACGACGTCACGAGGCGGTCCCTTAGAGAGCCGCACGCGGCTCCGGAGCCGCAGGTTGCTGAGCCGCGGGGCGAGGAAAGCACGAGGGGTGAGGCCGGCGCGACTCGTGAGTGGCGTGCGGGGCGTGATTTGCCCGGCGGTGAAAAACCACCGCAGCCCTTCCGGCTGATCCCCGCCGGGGCACGGAGCGGCGCTGTCGGTGCGGGGCCCGGTAGAGAACGGGCGCGGCGACGGCTGCCGTGACGACGAGGATGGCGAAGACGACGACGACGATGATGACGACGACCATGAGAAACGCCGCACGACCGGAGGGCAGAGAAATGCTTTTTTTTCTCGCCCTCTCTCTCTCTTCCCCATTTTGTCCCGAGGGTCAAAGGTCGGCGAGGGTCAAAGGCGGCCGAGAGGTCAATGTTCACATCGGAAGAGGAGGAGGAGACATCGGCGGCGAGTCCAGCGGAACGGACGTCGAGCGTCGACGGTCCCCGGGTTGAGTTTTGTTACTTGAATGGCGGAAACAACAAAAACAACAAAAACAAAGAAGTGCCCGTTCTGCAGATGCCACGGAAAGTCGGCGGCGCTCGGTGACCCGAGCAGGCCTTGGGCCTAGGACGACTGGACTAGACTCGTGAGCCTCTTGGCGGTCAGCATTTTAGCCTGCGGGTTAGAACAAAACACAATGGGGGAAACTTTCTCAGAATGTTTACGGGGAAATTTTTTTAAACGACGAGCAGAATCAACCAGGCAATGGAGAGAGGTGCAGCCCTGCAATCGCTTTGCTCACGACACAGCTGGTGGAAAGGCCTCCACTAGAGGGAGGTCTCAGGGGTATTAGACTCACACCTGTCCAATTACTCAGATCACACACCTGTTCAATAACTCACACACCTGTTCAATAACTCACACACCTGTCCAATAACTCAACACACACCTGTTCAATAACTCACACACACCTGTTCAATAACTCACACACCTGTCCAATAACTCACACACACCTGTTCAATAACTCACACACCTGTCCAATTACTCAACACACCTGTTCAATAACTCAACACTCACCTGTTCGACACACCTGTTAACACAGTAGAACAACCGCATTTAACTAAAACTAAACTATCTTGTTTATTTTACCAGGTAAGGCTGACTGAATTGCAGACCTCTTTTTCAGAAGCGACCTTGCCACAAAGTATAGCTCAACGAAGTAGTTCATCATCGTGTGGAAATTTCTAGCAGCCAAATACCTCAAACGCACGATGTCGATTCTAAATGTGGACGGACAAAAGCAGAGGACCCGGAGAAAAATCCACGCGACCACGGGGAGAGAGAGAGAGACACCGCAAAC